GGTACGACAAAAGAAGACTGGTGCGCCGTATTTTAAATGCTGCATCTTCTTCACTTTTCTTGTCATGTCGAATTTAGCATTTCAGGTATATTTAAATACACGGTTTCATATGTTCTACACACCAGGCCATTTTCAACCAGTCAGTTGAATAGAGTCCAGGGAAACGGTGATACAGATGCTTATTCCTGTATGGATCCTCATTGGCTATGTAATTGTATTTACTACTCTTCATTAAATGCTGTGGGTTTGTGCTGCTAATAGAAGTAGAAATGGAATGGAAAGTATCCTTTCTAATGAACTTACTAATAATTGCAACCTTAATTATATAAATATTTCAAGTCATATTTATAAGCCAGCCTCAAAGTGCTTCATAGGCAAAACTCTATTGAAATAAATGGGGCTTGAAAATGGAAAAGGAAGTTTTGGAGAATGGCCATAAGTTTGTACATCCAGAATAATTGGCTTTTGCAATGAATGGTCAGGAAGACTGATCATTCTTTCAGTAAGTACCCTGTTAACAGTTGTGTCACTCTGTAGTTCAATAATCCTGCATTACATGATTGTTTCTTATAGGAGAGATTATAGTTAAATTGTCAAGCATCAATGGTTGCTAGGAGAAAAGGAACTGATTTGATATCAAATCTGAAAACCAGGACAAAAGACAGATCCATCTTTGGTGCAAAATGGCTTAAAAATATATAGGCATAAAATGGCTTGAAAATATAGGAAGTTGGATCAAAGTAAGAAATGCAAGCCTTGTATAATTATATGGTCACAGTGACATTTTCACATTGAAAAAGTCTACCTTTGAAGTTTAAGTAACAATAACAAGAAGGTTCATATTCAGAATATCACATGCCTCCAGTTCAGTGTGGATTTTATGGACAGGAGTTCCTTAAAGACTCTTATGACCCTTGGTGTAATTTTCTTCTCACCATGGGTGCTTCCTAATTGTGCAATTGACCTGCCTAGTTCTTAGATTTTCACAGAGGATCTGGATAGCATCATGATCCATTTTTACTCAGCCAGTATTTTCCAACTGCAAAATAATCAGATGAGGAAAACAGCAGGAATGCAATTCTTTGGCAGAGTGTTGACAAGAAAGTGGAAAACTAAGGCAGGGTGGGAAGAGTTGTTCCTGGAAAAGCAGGGCTGATGCATTGAGGACAGTGTCCCTTTCTCCATTGCTTTTCTGGTTCCAGAGCCCTTTTCTTTTCTTAAAAAGCTTCCAAAGCAGGGAGAGGTGTCACTGAAAACAGCAGAACTTCTGCGTATACATAGATGCAGAGCCTAAGTATTTTTACAGCAGTTTTGGGAATCTTTTACTGGTGATTGACCGTTTTGTTCTCGATCTTAATAAATAAATAAATAAATATCACTATGCTGGAACTGGAGCTCTCTGAAATGACTCAAGCTAATAAACTGCGGAGACTCCTGCGAGTCCCTTGGACAGCAAGGTGATCAAACCGGTCAGTCCTAGAGGAGATCAACACTGACTGCTCTTTAGAAGGCCAGATACTGAAGATGAAACTCGAATACTTTGGCCACCTAATGAGAAGGAAGGACTCCCTGGAGAAGAGCCTAATGCTGGGAACAATTGACGGCAAAAGAAGAAGGGGACGGCAGAGAATGAGGTGGCCGGATGGAATCACTAAAACAGTTGGTGTGAGCTTGAGTGGACTCCGGGGGATGGTGGAGGACAGGAAGGTCTGGAGGAATGTTGTCCATGGGGTCACAATGGGTCGGACACGACGTTGTGACTAACAGCAACAGCAATAAACAACTTGTCAATTTCAACTACTGAAGAAGTGGAATTTGGAAAGAATGTTGGGAGAAGTGTGTGGTGGTGGGGGGGGGGGGCAGAATTTGAGGATGTAACAAAATCCTGCAGTTTTCTAGGCTGGTCATGAAATTGAAGAGAAAATCAAGGTGTGAGTTTGAAGTGAAGGACAAGGAGCCGGTTTATCAGGATTTATCCCCATTGTATGATCAAGTTTATTCCAAGTAAAGCTTTCATTTACTTGCCCAGTGCTGCAGCTCCTCTTTAAAAGAAAAAAAAAAAATGCAAACACGCATGTATAGACAAAAGGGGGTGCTAAAATGCTGAGAAGAACCTGCTTCAAAATGATAGGAGAAAGGTGTGTTGACTAGGTAGGGTTGGGAAGGGGAGGCATTAGCACTGCCTTGGCTATGTTGTGCACCTTGTATGGACTGAATACAATGAGATGCACACTGCAAAAGAGCTCTAGAGATGTCCCCACCCCAGTTTGCCTGAACTTTTAAAAAAGCTGTGTATGCAAGTAAATTCCCTAAATTAATTACGTGGTTTGTGAAGTATTTCCTTTAGTCTTCCCAGAACCAACTGTAAATCAACTTCCTGGTGAATTTTAGAGAAGGGGTTTTTTAAAATACTCATTTGCCCCTTCTGTACTAATATATTTTTAAGTGTTTGCATTTTTAGTGTGTATGAAGCATATGTATCCTAAAATCCACAATATGAATTTTCCTTGAAAGAGAGATTTCCAGCAGGATTACAACACTCTAACAAGAAATTCTTGCTAGCTATTATGTAATAGCTTTCCCCAACTTGGTACACTCGTATGTTTTTGACAATGACTGTCAGCATTCCTGACACGGACCTTTCTGGCAGGGGCTAGTGGGACTGAAGAAGTCCAAAACATTTCGAGAGTACTAGATTGGAGAAGCTGCTTATAACATCATGTCCTTACATCTGTTTGCAAGGTGGCTGCACAATGCCTTTGACATCATCCCTTTCCACATGCATGTATGTGTATGTGGTCATATTTGTGACAAGTATTTGCTCATGCAGCAGTGCTGAATTTTCATGCGTGAACAGACACTGCTAAATCTACTTTGAATCACAAATATCCCTGACTAGATAACTTGCACAGTACATCTTGAAAAGTGAGTCCTAGATTAATCTGCTGATGCATTCACATTAGAACATACAAATCTCCATGAATGTACATAGTGCCTGAATCAAACAATAGACATCACATGTAGGAAGTTGCAGGCTTCAGCTAATGCAGATCTAACTTCGTATCCACATCATGGTTTCCACCTGAACTCCACTGAACTCCCTGGATACAGAGGGCAAGGCATAGCCCTATCCAGGAACACTAGCTGACCTGCTCAGGACAAGGGTACAGAAATCATATAAAGGAAAGGAATGAATATAATGTTATATGTCAGAATTGGCCCTTGGAAGATATGTTTATTAGGAACAATGTCCTGTTAGAGTACATGTATTAGCAAAAACAATCTTAAAATTTAAGTTTCTTTTTCCAGTCCAAACCTGTTTAAGGTCTCAGTCATTTCTGAAACTCAAATATTGGGCACTTTTTTTGGTATTTCCATTTATATGGGCCCTGCAAAAAATGCCATGTTAGCATATTAGTACCTGACAACATGCCTGATATCTCTTGAATTCTCTCTTAATTTTTTAAGTCATTTGTGTGTATGCCTTGCTTTTAAAAGCATTTTAAAACCACATAATTTCTTCTTTAAAAACCATAACATGTTAATTAACAAAACAATGCAGATTGTTAGCCAAGTGTATCTGTAGTATAACTGCCACAAGAAGTGGAAATTACTAAGTTGGGGATTTTTTAGGTTGGTTGCCTTGCCACTCACCATAAAATATCCTCTGTGTGGTCCATGATGATGTTATCTCCTGCAGTATGGTATAGTGACAGGATGTGAGACCTCTCTTCCACAGGCCTAATCTGGCCCATGGAGGTTCTACATGCATCCTGTGGAGCCATCTTGGGTTCATGCAGGAGGCAGAGCTCAGAGGCCAGGCCTCACCTCATGCAGGAATCCTCCCTGAATGTGGGTAGCAGGGGACTCAACCACTCCTCTCAGCACCACCTGGAGCAGACCCTCCTCCCAGTGCTGACCAAATAGCTTTGCTTTGCATGCCACCAGAAGCCAGGGAGTCCAAGGGGGTCAATGACACTAGAGGGTGCGACTGTATTCATTGAGTCCAGCCAGCCACAAAAGGCCTGGCAAGGAGCAATTCAGCACCTTGCCTCCACCACCACCACAGTGTTTTGGCATTCCTCATATAGTGTAATAGCTAAACAACTGTAAACTTGACCCCATTGGGTACCGCTTCATGGTAGCTGTGGCTGCATTCGTCCCCATGCTGCTCTAGCTTCACTTGCCTTCTGCTGCTACCAAACAACCTGCTGGAGGTTGTGGCCTAGGCTCCTGCTCCTTCATCACTCCTAAGGATCTTCCAATTATCTGTCTTCCCTTCCAAGCTTCCTCTTGTATTGCCCACAATGATGAAGCAAGGAACTTCCTGCTCCAAGTGTCCGTAATGCTGTTCACTTGATCATTATGGTAGAATGTTCTGCACTAATGCCTGATGGAGAGACCGAGCAGTGGCACACCCAATGGCAATCTGGCTTGCAACGGAATGCACAAAGAACCTGTGTGTCATGGGCAAACTATAATCTAGGCAAACAAAAAAGAGCTCAGTGAACATGTGAATCAAGCAGGAAATGGGCCATCTGGCTAGGCATGGTATGACCTAGAAAGGAGATACAAAATGTTTTGGGGCTCAGTGGCTTTGTTGGGAAGGATTGCCAATTTATACTCCAGCCAACTCCTTTCTCCCCAGTGCCCCATGTTTGTAGATGAAGAAAAACTTCTATGCTTCCCTTTTTTCTTGCACATCTCAGCATTTAACCTGGCATTTGAACATGATTTTTTTTAAAAAAAAAAAACTGTGTTAAAAGCCCTGATGTAAATTACCCTTTATTGCCCAAAGCAATCAGAACACAGGAGAAGGTGCTCTAATAACCAGACTATTCAGATTCAAGACATCTTTGCAGCTCCACATACTTTGCTGCATTGTAGTTTGAAGTTTGAGATTTTGTGTGTAATTGTGCCAAATTGTGTTCGTCTGAGATTTTGTCAACTCTTGGATTAAGAATGGCTTCTTAAGTTCCCCTTGCTTTCTGAATACTTACGGGCAATCCCAGAGGACCTCGGTCTCCTTTTTCTCCCTGGGAACCTTTTTCACCTTCCTTTCCATCAATGCCTGCTTCCCCCTAAAGGAAAGATGTATCAGGAAAAAGCCCAACATTCCTTGCAAAGCTTCTAAAGAAACAGGAATTACGTAGCAAAGGCATCCAGAATAACATAGCAATGACCAAATGACATTTTACAGCCAATTTCACACTAGACAAAGCCAAGCCGCTCCACTGATTTCACAGAAGATATTGATAGTGTATCATGGTGAGAATGATAGGAGAATCAGCCTCTGTGGTAGATACCAGACTTCATGACAATAGAGAAATCCTGAGTTCTATTAGATGAAGATGATTTTTTTTCAGGTAACCTGATTTGTAGACATGTCTTATACACTGAGCTGGTTCTCATGTAACAACAACCTGTGCATTTAAACACTGATGGGTTGTCATGTGCAAGCAGGTGTTCCGCATGTAGTGCATCTACCTCTTCCATTTCACTGTACAACCTGCAGTTAGCTCCTTCCTAGATACTGGAGTATGACATGTGAACTGAGACCACTGGTTTGTTTAGGGGCTAAACAACCTAGTGGTGAATTCAACAGCAGATAATGGATTCTTAAACCAGTGGGTTGTCATAATGTGCAAACATGGAGAAACATATTTTTAGAGACACGACTACATATTGGATTGGATTGGATTGGATTGGATTGGATAGGAAAGGAAAGGAGCTTCATAGAGGGCGATTTTGAGCTAAGAAGTGTAGGGAGGAAGAATATAATCCTTTTCTTATGAGTGTTGTTTCCCTTTTCCAAACTGCACACCTAAACAACATTTGGGCCCTAATGTACACATTGGCACATCACTGGATTGCAATACCATTTTATTTCATTTTGTTCATATCCTAACTATGTAAACACAGAGGTCTGGGGTATGTTACAACTGACATGTTTGGAGCGTCTAACCCATCAAAAGTCTAACCCATCAAAACCCAGCATCCTACCAGATATCTATAAAAGTGTTAAATTTGATTCAATGTGATTGCCCTTCATTCTTACCTTAGGTCCTGGAAGGCCTTGGGGACCCTGGATTTTAAAGTAACAACAAGAAAAGATGTCAGACCATTCTAAACTTTAAAAGTTAAGACTGTTGCTTAACTTTCTGGATCCCAGTCCCATAAAATGCAGACAGCTCCTACATTATTGTAATACTTCACTTACTAGTTAACAGGTTGAAGTATAATAACCAATAAAGTTATAACAAATATCACCATGTGGTTTGCTTTTATTCCCAATGTTTGCTATCCATAGAAAAATATCCAGTAGTAATGTATCAACTTGATAGACACTGTGCATAAAGTCCTTCTAAAATGCTTTCATTCACGAGTATATATAAAATAAAATGAGGATTTTTTTCTAGGAAGATTTTACAAGGGTAGTATTGATTGGTTCAGCAATGTGGATGTTTGTATTGCACAACGTTTTGCTCCTGGAAGGACTTTTCCTTTAAATATAACATTTTTTCATCTATACATCTAAAACCCTGTATAATATACAGTGTATATGCAGGGAACCAGGGTTTTTTGGGGATCAGTTCTGAACATCTCCCTCAAAATCACAGCAGACACAGATTACTTTTCCCTAGGCAGTGCCAGCAGATGTAGGGTGCCCTGGTCCAGGCCTTATTGCCCATAGGGAGGGATACAGCAGAAACAGTCCATATGCTGTGCTGTCTGCACTGCAGTTTTGTAGATTTAATCTGCTCCTTATTGCTGTGTTTAAATGTTGTATTCAATTATATTCATTTTATGGCTGCTATGGTTGTGTGACAGACACCTTAGTTTGATGTCAGATGTGACTGTAAGTCACCTCAAGCAGTGGTAAAGACAGGATAAAATGTTTTAAACAAATAAAATAAATTGTAATTAGTAACTCATAGGAAACATAAGTGTTCATGGATTTGGGAGATGGGGTGGAGGAGAACTTACATGCCTTTCTAAGATTTTCTGTACTCCTAAGTGCACACTTCAGTTAGCATAAATGGTAAAGAAGTGCATAAGTTTTCACTGAAATGATCCCGTATGGATGTCAAACTCTAGAGGTTCTTCTTCATTTTTACATTTATTAATTTCATTTATTTCTAAGATGGTGTACAATAATACAGCAAGCATACTAATTCCAATCTAATACAGTATTAGAACCACAATTAGCACTAAAAACAACCACGTGAATATGTCAACTAGAGCCCAGAAAACTCAAAATTATGAGTAGAAATATAATCTAACACATAAACAGCCAGAAAGGCAGCCAAAACAAATTCATTTTAAAAGCCCTTTTAAAAGCTGTATCTGATGGGACCAGCTGCACATTCCTTGGGATAAATTCCACTGGGTACTGGCCACCACTATGGATAAGGCCTTGTCTCTTCTGCCTCGCAGGTGGGCCTTTGAGAGGGCCTTTCAAGATCATCTGCAAGGAGGGTGTGTACTCATACAGATGACTTCTCCGAGATAAGGAGCTACGATAGGGGAGAAACTCACCTTCGTAGCATACCGACAGGACTTACCGGTGTTCCTGGTGGGCCTTGAGGCCCTGGTGGCCCAGTTATCTAAAACCCCGAACAGAAAAACAAAAGTCATTGCCCTGGTAAATAACTGTAAGAAGCCTGTCTGTGAATTAAGTACTGCTTTGTCCCTAATATATAGAAACAGCCCTTAATCACAAAAGGGCTCCAGGATGAGGGGGTGCCTTCAGCTAAATACCGCAGGAGAAATGCAGGTGGCTAGGATAAAAGGAAGAGTAAGCCTTGGGTAGATGACTCACCCATATGCCACTTATTTGTTTTATTTATTTATTTAGGATATTTGTATGCTGTACTTTGCAAGAGCCTCAGGACGGCTTAAACAAATAAAATACAAATATCTAACATAACATAAATTAATGACCCACTCTGGCTGCAATTAAAATATGATGATAAAATTCAACATTAAAACTTATTAAAATATTGATTAAATAAAAAGGTCTTAACCTGGCACCGAAAAACATATAATGACGGCGCCAGGTGGACCTCTCTGGGGAGCGCATTCCATAAGTGGGGCACCACCACAGAGAAGGCCCTCCTCCGGGTACTCTGTCTCCTAATATCTTTCACAGAGGGTTCCCGAAGGAGGGCTTCTGCTACCGATCTCAGGGGGTGGGAGGGCAAATAGGGAAGAAGGCATTCCTTTAGGTATCCAGGTCCCAAGCCATTTAGGGCTTTATAGGTGATTACCAACACCTTGAATTGAGCCCAGACTTCGATGGGAAGCCAGTGGAGCTGATAGAGGACTGGGGTTATAGGAGAATAATGCCCAGTCCCCGACAGCATCCTGGCAGCTCTGTTTTATTTATTTATTTATTTATTTATTAAAACATTTTTGCACCATCTGAAGTATCCGGAGTGTCTTCAAGGGCAGCCCCATGTACAGTGCGTTACAGAAATCCAACCGGGAAGCAACCAATGCATGTGTTACTGTTGCTAGGCAATTTTCCTCCAGGTAGGGACACAGCTGATGGATTAGCCGAAGCTGAAGGAAAGCGCTCCTTGCCACTGCTGTCACCTGAGCTTCCAAGCACAGCTCCGGGTCGAGGAGCACTCCCAAGCTGCGGACCCTGTCCTTTAGAGGGAGTGCAACCCCATCCAGGGCAAGGCCCAAGTCACCTACCCAGGAGCTCAAATCACCCACCAACAAAACCTCCATCTTATCTGGACTCAGCTTCAGTTTATTGGCCCTCATCCAGCCCATCACCTCGGCCAGGCACCGGTTCAGTACAGCCACTGCCTCACCTGGCTTAGTTGAAAAAGAGAGGTAGAGTTGGGTGTCATCAGCATACTGATGACTCCACAGCCCAAACCTCCTGATGGCCTCTCCCAGTTGGTTTCATGTAGATGTTGAATAGCAAGGGGGACAAAATAGACCCCTGCAGTACTCCATGGCATAGCTGCCATGGCGTAGAGGTAAAGTCCCCCAGCACCACCTTCTGGAATCGGTCGTCAAGGTAGGAGAAGAACCACTGCCAAGCAGTGCCTCCTACTCCCAGTCCCCCCAGCCTATCCAGGAGGATACTGTGGTCGATGGTATCGAAAGCCACTGAGATGTCCAGGAGAACCAACAGGAACGCACTTCCCCTGTCTCCCTCCCTGCACAGGTCATCATACAGGGCGACCAAGGCTGATTCAGTACCATACCCGGGTCTGAAGTCAGACTGAAATGGGTCCAGATAATCAGTTTCATCCAAGAGTGCTTGGAGTTGTCCTGCCACCACCCGTTTCAACACCTTGCCCAAAAACAGGATGTTGACCACCGGTGTATAATTGGTGGCCATCTCTGGATCCAGAGATGCCTTCTTTCGGACTGGCCAGACTACCGCCTCCTTTAAAGGAGCAGGCGCCCGGCCCTCCCTCAGAGAGGCGTTAATAACCTCCAGGATCCAGGAACCAATCCCGTGTTTGGCTTTGGTCAGCAGCCACGAAGGGCAAGCGTCAAGTAAGCAGGTGGTAGGACGTACTTGTCCAAGCACCTTGTCCACATCATTGGGCCACAGTAACTGAAATTGATCCATTAATACCTGACCAGACGGAGTCACTGGCATCTCCCTAAAGGATCTGAATCACTTGTGGAGTCCAGCTCGTGACGAATCTGAGCGATTTTCTCCTTAAAGTGCTGGGCAAAGTCATCACAGTGGGCCATCGATGGTGGTACAGGATCTTGATTAGGGCTGGAGTATTAGCGCCCATGTACCACTCAAAAGAGCTCTGCTGGATGGCACTGTGAGGAGGCAATGGAAGTGGAGAAGAATTTCTTCTTCGCCACCCTCACCGCCACAGCATAGTTTCGATAATGAACACGTAGGCATGATCCTGCTCTTTCCATGTAGTGGGGCAGCTCTTGGTCTAAACACACAAGTCTGCTGCAATCACGACTAGCTTGCTTCAGGAGGAGTAAGCAGTTTGATGTTCACAACCCATGAAGAACCCGAGGGATGCTTACAGCTATGCCTGTGACAAAGTATTTCCCTCCCCACCCTTGCCTGCGGTTTTCAAAAGGATAAATTGCAGAATGGTAACTTACTGAGTCCCCAGCGTCTCCTTTTTTCCCAGGTTCTCCCTTTTCTCCCTGCAAATGCAACAAACACAATACAAACCCCAGCACTACCACAAGGAATTTTTCACATCTTGACAGCAGGGGGCTGAAAGTTCAGATGAAGACATACATTAAGGAATAAGCAGAATTGCAGTCATGCTTGGACTCCCCACTCCTCCAAACCAAAAACCACTGCCTAAATTAGCAATGCCTGCTGTCTTGGTTTTGTCAGAATAGCTGATCAGCATCCGACCACATTTGGATAATGCAAAATATCTGTAAACAGCATACAGAAAGCAGTCACAATAGCTGAACTCTATAGAATCCCCTCCACCCCAAATTGTGCATCTCCAGTGCTCACAGCTGATCGGATCCCACTTTATCCCAGGCAAAAGCTTACAGAAACACATCCAATTTGTTGTTCACCTCAAGTCATTTTTTGTATTCTTAGCCTAAACATAATTGAGATCTCAAAGGGTGATAGCATTGACACCCTTCCTGTAAATCAAGGGAGCAGCACTGAGGTTGTGCAGCATGGCAGTGGCAAAGTGGTACAACTGGCAGCTCCCGGTTCAAGCCCCACCTCTGCAGCAGGCTCATTAACAGTGCAGTCCTGTCCATCTCTACTCAGAGGAAAGCTGCACTGAGTAGGACTTATTCCCAGGTAAGTGTGTACAGAATTCGGCCACGAAAAAGCTCAAGACAAGACAACAGGATGCAGCGTTTTGCTGTGGTTGACCAGCTCTGTGCTGATGGGTGGGGTTTTTTTTAATTGCTTACTGTGAAACCTGGAAGTCCAATTGGACCTATGAGGCCTGGAGGTCCTGGCATCCCTTGATCACCTTTTTCTCCAGTTAGGCCATCAAGACCCTACACAGGAAGAAATATTTATTTTTAAATTTAAAACCACACAGTGAGAACAATGGGTTAATGGCTTGCTTTATCAGATCGAATCAGACTTGCCATTGTAAAGGACACAGTGGAGGCCTGCACGTGTCTTGCTTAAGGCTGAAGCACTGGGGTTTATTTCAGGAACTGAGCTTTGTCCACCTGTCTAGGAAAGTTAATGCCTTTTCTTCAGAAGACAATATTGTCACTGATAACATTATTAGCAACCTTGAGACATATAAAAAGGGAATGGCTGTGATTCTAATGGCTTCTCTACACTAGGCATTTATTATGCACTCATGAGCCACCTCTCACAGACGTTTGTAGGCCCTTTGCATGACATCATCATCCTTTAGTGCCTCTCCCAGGTTTCCCAGCCATGCTCATGGATTTTGTAGAATGAAGACCATCTGGAATTTTCCTAGATGGCACCATTATTTGCTACAGAAACTGGCTCTGTTTTTGCAGTTTAAGTCATGGGACGACCTTGCATTGTGTAGTGGAACATATAGGAACATGAAAGCAGGAGGAACTCCTCCCCTTGGCGGGGGGGGGGGGGATGCTGTGTGAAGACTGCACTAATCTTGCAAAGAAAACAGAAGTCTCCATAAAGCACTGTGTTATATGCCTCATACAGTGAAACACGGCGACCTGAGGACGGCAGCTAAGATAGAATTTCTTATAGCGCATTATGGATTTTCCATCTTTTTCTTCAGAAAAAAACAGGATGCCTCATTTAAGCCATAAGCAAGGTTGCCAACTTGGAAATGACCAGTGCAGGTCAGATGTCTAGATAGATTTGTAGCCTAAAGGGGAAGAGGGGGAATGTCCTTATCATTCACCGTGATTCTGAAACTGGCTTGCAAACAGATAGTTCACAGGTACCACAAATGCTGTGTTTACTCACTGGTGAACCAGCCTGTCCAGTCTCCCCCTTTTCTCCTTTTGCTCCTGCAGTTCCCATGGAGCCAATTCTCCCTTCATCCCTGAATGTCCATCATTTCCAGGAGGCCCGTTGGGACCGGGAGGCCCCATCTCTCCTGGTTTGCCTCGCGGCCCCTACAAAAGTTATTCCGAACATCGTTTTTCTAGACCAGTTTACAGTGTCCAAGGGACTGCCTTCGTTTCTACGATAAAATCAGAAGTCTCGATGCCATAGATTCTGGAGTAGCCTTACTAGTATCAGTGAAAACAATACAGAGAAAGGTAGGTGTAGTTAAATCACATTATAGCCAATAAGGGTGCTTTCAGATGGTGGAGGGCTCCTAGCACTGGCAATCAAAACACACTGTGCACCTATTCTGTCTTTTCCTCCTTAATGGATTATCTGTGGTTAGAAAAAAGGAGTAGAAATGGTAAGACAACATGGGAGGGCTGTCAATGGAATAGGAGCATGTATGAATCCTCCATAAAATCCTGTGAATGAGGCCAGGCAGGTGCTTGATCTCATCTGGAAGCACCCTGAGACACGAGCGCAGTGCTAAGCACTTAGTATCTCAACCCCAGTCACATATTTTGAAGATGGAACCATTCATTTCAGCGAAATATACTTTCCAGGCAGTGTCTTATTTCTCTGGATATTATCCAACTTCAATACTCTCCATGTTTGAGACTGGGAAAGGACTTAAAATTCCCATTGCATGGGCTGTGGAATGCTAGGACTGCAGGACTTTTTTCTGTTCAAACTCGCATAGGCTTGTGCTTGGAATTCCTCTGGCGGTCAGTGAAATGCTGGATTTTCCTTGACTTTGAATTTTGCACTGTAGCAAAGAAACTGATGCAAACTCCTGAAAATAAGTTATTCTAACACTGGGAAGCAGTCCTTGCTGGGTAAAGGCAAGGTGGGAAGTGTAGAAATGCTGCACTCTCCTGCTAAACAGAAGGACAGCAGAAAGTGGGCAAGAAAGGAAGTGACCATGGGAAGATGGAGAGTAGTGGCTTTTGTCTCTGTGCATGTATACACAAATGTTATACCGTTTTATTGTGTAATGCCGAACCCTCTGCATAAAATGATCTTTTAAGCAGCTAACAACAGCATTGGTTAATTTTAAAACAACATGCATTAAATCAAAAGTCAGCAGCCTGATGCTCTCCAAAAATTTTAACTGTAACTCCCATCATCTTCAACCCCCATGGCCAATAGTTGTGGATTATAGGCATTGCAATCAAAAATTTGTAGAGGTTTAATGTGTTGCCTGCCCCTGCTATGTACTATAAACAATAAATTGAAGCAGACAGTTGTGGGGAATAACAACAGCAACACTGAATTAAAAAAGAATGTGGTCGGAGTTGTGTGTATGTGCATGACGATTCATATTGTCCGTGTTTATGTATGCACTGATCAAAGAAAACAAAGGCATGGCCAGTGGCCATGACGCTTGGGAAGGGTGGGATGGGCACGCCAACTCTGAAACTGAAAATGGAAAAAAGTGAAACACATCTATGCCATCCTTCTAACAAATAAAATTTATGCTTCCAACGTATACGCATCTGTGGTTGGAGGGCAAAGGACTGTATTTCCTTATTTTAAAATGTTTTTATCGGGACTATTGTCAGACACAATCCTTTGCAGGTTTAGCCACAGAAAACTTGTGCTGGTTGGACTGGGTGAAAGAAATGGGACCCAATTTTCTCTAAACAATGTGCCTGAAGGCTGCACACTTTAACCCACTTACCTGGGAGTATCTCCCATTTGTGAGCCGCCCAGAGGCTTTGTTGCGATGGGGGCGGCATAGAAATGTTTTAAATAAATAAATAAATAAATTCAATGGCGCTTACTTCTGAGTAGAAATAGATAGGATTGCACTACAAAGCCCTTAGCGTCTTCTGTCTCAGTCCTGCCTTGATGAAAGCAAGCTTAAACAGAGAGGTCTTCCAAGCCTTACTTCTGAATAAAAGTATGTATGATTTCTGCAGGCAAAAATCACCTTGTGTTCAGAACATTTGTGTAAGCTGACTTGTAAAGACAGGGAAGTGTGAGAAATGCAGATAAAGCAGGATTTTTGCTCTGTGACAGTTTAGCAAGTCGGTAAGTTCTTCTCAGGTTCAGTAAAACACTACACTGAAAGTCCTGATATCATAAGGACTAATAATAGGCACATACGCAACAGCTGCCAAAATCAAGCAAAGAGGACAAAGCACTTTGCAAAACAGAGCTGTTGAAAGCAAACTTGTTTTGTGAAAACACTTTCTATCAAGAATCTCATCAAGCCCTTTCAATTGTAACTACAGTTTCACACAGCAGAGAATCACTTCTTCAATAATATAAAACTGTGAATCATCATTTTTTATTCCCTATGGACTATCCAGAGATATATAATATACTCTATATATCTGTCATTCCTCAGCTCTTACCCTTTCTCCATCATGTCCAGGAGGACCGGGGAGGCCAACTTCACCCTAAGAAGCAAAAACCAATGGAAAATAGAGAGGGGGGGAAACATGAAATGGGCTATTTCACCTATTTGTATACAAAGCTTGAGGACTGGCAAAATGTGGGAGACAGAAGGGATGCTCTATTGCAGCCAACCCCAACTAGAGGCCTTCCAGATGCATTAGATTTCCGTTTCTATTAGTTCTGGTTAGCATGATCAGTGGTCAGGAATGCTGTAGTCTGAAGCATCTGGAGGGCACCAGGTTGGGGGAAGACTGTTCTATTGATAGAGATGCACCTGAGAAGGGATGACCTTGAAGCTTGGTGGGTTAAAGAAGAGATTGGTATCATATGTCAGCTAAGTGCTTAAATGGTTAATAAACAGCTGTAAGTAATGCTAGCAGTGATTTTTATACATAGGAACCAATGAAAAGCATTTCCACGTATTGCTTCGTCTAGTAGTTCTTTTAACAATTCTTCATGTAACATCACAGTAGGCATTGTCCAGTACTACCACTCCAGTTGTGCAATTGAACATAGTTGTGCATGAACATAGTGACCTGCACTGTAACTCCCACAGCATATGTAGGTTCTTTCTAGGGGCACCTGTGGTATCAGCATTTGTTACCGGCTAGAGGCCAACAGAGGTCCTCATGTATGCAGAATGACCACACTGGATAGTGCCTGTTGTTCTTATTAGCTAATTTACATGTATGTTTGGCAGGCTGCAATCTGCAAATCTACCTTATTAATTGCCTGGCAGAGAAAGAGATGAAGCAGCCATGATCGCACTTGCTCATTCTGTCATCTGTTCTGTGACATACCTGGAGTCTGCTTGTTACAGTATGTGGCAGACAGAACAGGTGGATTGTTAGTCCAAGACCAAGACTATAGAGGCTGACTTCTCTCTTGCTACTATGTGAAATCTCTAGGTAGCAATCTGGCAAATTTATCTGCATCATGATAATGGTGCTGCTGGACTCCCGATTATTTAAATTTTGGACTTAACTTCTCCAGGAAAGAATAAGAGGGAGGAAATGTAGCCCATTTCTCCAGCTGTGTTTTAGTGTCTACCACATGCTAACAGTATATATCCAAAAGGGGTAATTAAAGTTCAACACTTAAGTTTTGTGGTATGTTTCCTTCATGTGGATGAAGCAGTTGCTCATGATGCTGCAACCTTCAGATATCAAACCATTACTTTAAACGCACCTTGGGTGTAGGCTTGTGCATATGTAATGTTTTGAAGTCATTTTCCTAAGATAGAGAGAAATCCAACAGTGCCTGGACTGGATTCTAGGGACCATAGGATGGCTTGGATTCTCTCCTCCAAGGTAGGAGACAGCATCCTGACCCGAGAGGAGTGCTGGGGATCCTACCCACTTCCCCTCCCCCACAGCTGGCACGGAAAGCAACCTCAGAGGAGGAGGAAGAAAGAGGGAGTTCTGGTGGGTAAGGGGAGGAGGACAGCAGAGAGATCAGAATATGAATTATTCTGAGCTTTCTTCCTTCCCCCTCCAAAGGGCCCTCATTAGATGGATTGAAAAGCCCATCTAGAAAACTCTGTAGGGCAGGAGGAAAGAGAGCCCGAGGTCACATCTACTGCCCCTGCCCTGCACTGAATAAGTGGAAGCCTCCAAGTGTGGGGGTTCTGATCATGTAGGATGCAATTGACAGGGCTGCACCCTTAATGTTATGATAAGGTACAATTGCCATCTTTCCCTGTGCCTACAGTAAATATTTCATGTGGAGCAACCCGTGATTAAAAAGTATAACATGCACAAACAAAGGCCTTTAGAATGCAGCTGTCTAAGAAAGAATGGAGGGACCATCAGTACCATCTTCTAATAGTATTAATTTGCTGCTTATGGAATTTTTTCCAATAACAAAATATGTAACACCTAATCAAAGAAGGCACAAGGGCAGCATTCCCTGCCTTCAGGAAATGAGGGTAGGGATGGAAGTGGGATACATAGAGAGCTGACACTTCTTGCATAGTTTAGCTTCTGGGGCTGAGAAAAAGGTTTATCTGGAAGAACAGGAGTGAACAGGAACCAACAAAAGGAAGAACAGTGGACAAGGCAGAAATTATTATATATGAAACCAGGCTTTATTTTTATGAAATTTTAAAATGTGAGCTTTAAGGAATAGAAAGAAAAGTTTGCAACAGTAGCCATGTAGATATCTATTTACTTTCTATATGCACAAGTCATTTTTAATGTTAAAAGACCTTTGTGTTTCTGTGAGGGGGTGCTTTGGATAGGGGTGGCAGTGGAAATCAATCTGTCAGAGCCCTTCCTACTGAAATTTGGGCTCATGCCAGTCTGTCCCTGAAGGGGTGGGGCCCACTAAGACAGTCCATCACTGGAGACTTAGGAAATCAGGGACTTTTCAATAGCCAGAGCTGGTGGCTCTCCCAAGGCATTTGCTGTGCTAAGGAATGGTGAGGTACAACAGGCCTCCAGCACTGGGGAGCTGAGAAGGCTCACTGAGCTCTGGACAACACAACAGGTCAGAAGATGGCTAGAGCATAGGAGGCACCGGCCTCATCATGAAGATGATCAAGCATGCATAAGGGCTCATAACTGAAGCTACTGGATAGTGGCAAAAAGTGGCAAAGAAGGCTTAGTTTCTTGTTTCCATTACATTGTCGAGCAGCCATCTGGCTGAGCTTTTCCAAGAACTACAGGGGTTGCTTTCAACTAATCCTGTGTTCCCAGTACTGAGACCCAGGAGGCCCACTGCTATGAGTTTGCAAGACAATGTGAGGAGAATATTGCCCTTTCATGGTGACTTGAGTGCTGCTAATTATGCAGTGCTCACTGAGGTGTTCAGTGCAATTGTTGTTACTGGTTGACATTATACTATCCTGTTTTAGGGTATGAGTTTCAGCCTTTGAAACCTGAGGATGTAGAAAAGAACCTTGCATCTATATGGCCTACCACATTCTTCTTGCCCTTTGAGGCCTCTTTGAGTTTGTGGTGGGGGACTGCACTTATTTTCAAAGAAAATCTGCATTAAAAGATCTGCACTGGCAGCCTATGAGATACTGAGCCGTGTTCAAGGATATGTTATTGTCGTACAAAGCCCTGAACAATTTGTGACAAGGGTATTTGGCAGGCTACCTTTCCCTCTGTTTACACACGACAGATCTTAAGACCTGTAAAGGAGTTTATTCCATGACCGACAGATTTTTGGTTGCCATGTAATATAGCTCAGTGGCAGGCCTTCCCAGTGACGGTGCATACCCCCTGCAAGACCCCATGAAGTTCAAGAGCTAAAATGTGCTATGTTTCAAATGCTTCCTGAAAACACTCATGCTCATCCAGGTTTTTTCTGACTTCTGATTCAGTGAAATTAGTCATATGCTGCTCTGACTTACTGCTTCTTCTGCTGCCGTCTTGAATTGTTACTACATTTGCATTTAATAGTGTAGTTTAAGTGTGATTTCACTATTTATATGTGAACTGCTTTAGGAGTTTATTATATTAAGCTTAGGAATGAGTGAGTGAATAAGTAAATGTTCATTATGGAGCAAACAAAATATACAGGGCCTATAACTCTACAATAGTCATGTATTAGTCTTAGTTTTAAGTAGGCTGTTCTTTAAAAATATTCCTGAACATATTCCTAGATGGTTTGGATTTCAATCAATGGGTGAAAGTGCTTTCATTTTGATGGCTTATGCCCATGCTGATGTTTCTAAATCACCATGCTTGACTGTTACCTTCTGTCCAGGTGGCCCTGGTGGTCCTACAACACCTGGTAGTCCAGGAGGTCCCTGAGGAAAGAAAAAAAATCATAGTTAAAATAATATGAAAACAACCTTTGCCCTAAAATAAATAAATAAAGATCCAATGTCTTTTCTATGGAATAGGTAAGGAGTGCTTCTTGTCATCATCTTCTGTTGCAACATTCAAAGACAGGACAGATGTGAAAAATATGGAGCACACATACAAGGAATCTGATAAGCAATTTAGTGGCTTTATTTTAAAGTTTTCCTGCTTTCCGGATTTCTTTCAAACTGCTCTGTGTCAAGTAAGGAGAGGCACCACAATTCGTTACTAGACAGTCCAAGTTAAGTGCCAACTATATTCTGAAAAATAATAACAGAAGGCCAGAATGGTGCCTGGATCAGCCTTCCTCAAAACACCTGGTATCCTCCAGATGTACTGAACTGCAGCTCTCTCATTCCAAGCCCAGCAGGGAGTGATGGCACCATCCTGGGTAAGGCAGAAATACAATAGACTTAGGCCAGGAAGCTCTGTGTTCAAATCCCTATTCTGCTATGAAGGGCCAGCCATTCTTTCTCGTTCTAACCTACTTCACAGGACCGTTATGTGAATAAAATGTAGACTGGAAACACATATATCACTTTGATTTCCTTCAAGGAAAAAAAGAGTGAAATCAAAGAAATACCCACTCAATATTATTATTTCTTTCAGCCTAATACTGAAATGAGATGATTTTCTACTGATAAAGTTCTCTCAGGGGAACATGCTGAAAGGAAGGACACTGAGTGGCCAATGGCCATAGGAATTCCTTGAAAGAAGTTACAGATTATTATGTGTATGTCTACTATCTAGCACAGAACTTGAGATGTTACATATCTGTATTTTAGCCCACTGAAATGTAAAAGGGTGATTTCTAGTGTATGATTTTTGGCTTCTTTAGCTTAGTGTGACATGCAGTCAAAAAACCCCCTGCAAAGCCTGATGGTCTTACTGATCCTGCCCCGTCTGTATAACTGATTTGATGATTGCTAAATACATAGAGGGGAACAGGTGACTCACCATAAGGGCCAAAGTTCGTATCTCCTGGAAGAAGAGGAGAGGAGAGGAGAGGAGAGGAGAGGAGAGGAGAGGAGAGGAGAGAAGAGAAGAGAAGAGAAGAGAAGAGAAGAGAAGAGTCTGTTAGAGGCCCTCTTTTCTTTCAAACAAAACACAATGCTTACGTAAATAATCAAAATCAGCGAAATATTAGCCTTTATTTCCTTGCTAGAATGTCAAAGTAACTTCTATAGCGAATATCTTCTTTGGAAAAGCAAGCCATGCAGGATTATCATTTATAACATTTTATAATTTTCTGCCTGCCTGCCTACCAATTTTTTTTAAATATACAGATTGAGACGCTATTACTATTTACTATTAACATTTACATACTGGTTGTTGTTGTTAAAGAGCCATCAAGGTGGTGCACAACCAGTTAATAGAATCATAACACCATAAAATATGAAGCCCTAAAATCCATCAAAACCACTATAAAAGCCATTACACAGGTCATTAAAACATGATAAGTGCATAACAGCAAGTGTTCAGAACGTCTTGCTCCAAGCACCTTGACATCCAAGTCTGTCTTTCCCCAGGCAAATCTGGAGGCAATTGCTAAACAATGTTTCTTAAACACTCTCCAGACTCAGGCCTTGCAATTTGATATAACTCAGGGTACATTTCAATTTGGCTTGAGCCAGCCTAATTGCTGACTGGTGTACACTAAACCACCATCAGCCATCAGGTTGCATCAAATTCATCCATCTATTTGCATAGCAAGATAGCTGGCTCACAGAAATAACTCGAGCTTCCATGCAAATGATGTTCAGAAAGGGATAGCTCAATAATAACTACAAATTGGAATTTATTAAGTAGACAGGAAGGCCAAGATGTTTTGACTTTTTTTCCCTAACATTAAGTTTTTGTTAGGGAGAATAATTCAATGCAGGGAGTTATGTTCCAAGCAGTTCTCATCACACTAACTCCTCCTGCTTAATGTGTCTATTAACATCTGTTGTCGCTAGGTAACCCCCATAAACTAACCTGAAACATCTGCAGTATTAATTTGAACAGGAGAGGCTCTTATTACGCTATGGGTCTAGAAGTTCTGCAGAGAGTGATCTGCTGGCAGAGGCTATACGGCATTTGAAAAAGAAAAAGATACTGAATTGTATCCCATGGGTGTCACTCCAGGGATGGAATGCTCTTTTGATTCAGTGGAGGCTTCACGCAGTGGAGCCAAGGAAGGAGGCGATTTTCCATGATTCTGCTCCTCCTGTAGCCTCCTATGCTCCTCCAAAATCTCTTTCAGGCAGACTCTTTGGAATAGCATGTGTATGTGTCCATGTGTTGCACCAGGGAGCACAAAAAATTACCTACCTCCTCTGGCTCAAAGAGCAGAGTAATATCAATTACATACAACCACCTGTATATTATCTGAACTAAGGTTCTCTTTGTTCTAATCAGCAGCCTGCTAGTATAGGACATCAAAGTGATGCTAGTATGCAGAAGTTTAAGAACTGAGGGATATGTTGGAAGTTGAGTGGACATAATCTTTCTGCATTCTCTTAATTACTGTTGGACAATGTTCACATAACCTGAAATGTCTTAGAGTTTTTGGACAAGTAAAACTGAAACATGTTTAAAAGAACTGAAAAGGGAAATGTCCTTCCTTATCAGGAGATCCACTGGAAAGTAGGATTGCATTGAAATGCCATTTGGAACTCCTAAATTGCCAGGATATGCCTGTTAATAAGGTTGGAGATGCACACCACTCCTGGGACCTCTAGTGAAGGCTTATTACTCACTACTGGAACTAGGTTGCAGCCTCTGCACACCTTCAGTTTTTATGTAACACCATTTTGTATGGCTGTGAATCCGTAACAATAGATCTTTGTTATAGTAACAACTCCTGTTTTTTGTTCCATCCAAAATTATATAGAAATGCTAGTTTGTGATTCTAGGATATATTTCACTCTGTGAACTGTGGACCTTTCAGCATGCATCGGCTTTCAGAATTCCTCTGTCAGTTCACATTTCCAACCCACATTGTTAATCAAGTCGTTTGCTTTATGGCCTCATCAACACCCTTCATTGTATTAGGGTGCAATCCAAGGCTTTCCCATTGTGTGGCTTTTTCAGAATCTAAGTCCTTGCCCTGCGCCCTTGCAGCCAGCATGGAAAGAACCATACCAGCTGCCCCCACAGTTGAAACTGGGCCTCAGAGGAGGAAGTGGGGACATGCTGAGGGTCAGGAAAATGAGGGCCATGGAAATGCGCCAATTCCACCTGGTGACCGAGACTCCTTCCCTCCCCTCTTGCTGGTCCTGCATCTAGATGGCTGTCGAGATAAAATGCATGCTGAGAGGCACAGTGGAGGCAAGTGCTGCTGCCACACCTTGTACTGGATGTTCATAAACCTCCAATCTCAGAGGCTCCCAAACATCTGCCAAAAGGAGGAGGTTTCCATCCTTAATAGGGTACAATCTGAGAGGGATAAGGTCCCACCTGTGAAATCTCTGGAACTCTTTCTGATATGGGCTAATGCTGATTTAAATGTTATTTTCTGCTTGAAGTCCATGTTTGGCCTTATTTCAAAGATGCCTGATCTAGCCACGAGCACCTATGCCTGAGTTACATCCCATCTGGACTACTGTAATGTGGGGCTGTTTTTGAAAATGGTTTGGAAACTTCAGCTTGTCCAGAATGCAGTGGCCAGACAATTGACCAAAGCCAGCGTTACAGGGAGCTTTGCCTGCTACTGGCCTGTTTCCCTGCTTCCAGGCACAATCCAAAGTGCAGGTTATGACCTGCAAAGCCCTTTACAACTTGGGATTAGCCTTCCTGAAAGACCACATTCTCCCACATGAGCCTGCCTGGCTTCTATGATCCTCAGGAGAAGCACTTCTTGTGAAAGTACTTCTCAGAGGTACTTTTGTGGCCAAATGGCATGTCTGTGAGAACTTCACCCACTCCCCCCCCCCATGCAAATATAAGCACATTTTGTTGTGGTATTAGTTCAAAAACTGTACACTTTGGAACAATGCACATTCAATAAAAGGAAACGATACATTTAGGAACATGCTTTTAAAAGCGGCCACCTAGATGCATGCTTTTCCCAGACAACAAAGCCACTCACATGCTTTTCCCAGTCAGACAACAATGCAGCTCACAACTGGGAAAGGAAATGAGATGGACAGAACTTGGAGAACCTCAATGATTCGAGCTTTGTTCATTCTCCCATTCCTCAATGTGACTGATTGCAGCAGTGATTTTTACACATAGGAAGGACACCTAATTCTCCATATCTATGCATGCAGTAATAGAAATAACCGTGCATGTTGATCATTCGCTCCAGCACAATTAGCATAAACCAGCCAGTAATTCTCCATAGAGTATCAGCAGGAAACCATAAGCAAAAAGGTCACGGAAATATCTTCATTGCACATGGTGCCTATCTTGTATATGCCATCTTACCTGTAAAGCTTCATTGATATTGCCATTGTAATCTACCATTTCATTCTTCCCTTGCTCACCCTTGGGACCCTGTACAAAAATCAGTCATGCATGTCATTAAAAACTGGAATTTCCATCTAAATTAGATAGAAGCATCCAGAGCAATATTGATTCTAATACAAAGCTGTTAAACTTCAGGATTTAAAAATTTTGTTGGGGTAATATTCAGATTCTTGTTTCTAATTCTAATTAAAATTAATAACAAATCAGTGCTTGCACATACAGGATGCATTTTCACATCACAAGACCCCACCCTGCAGGGTGCTGGACAGATGCTTGGATCACAATGCATTGTTTGCCCCTTGGTCCTTCTGCAGGAATCCCAAGACATTATTCAGTGGAATTATTATGGCTTTTTGCCTCTTTCTCCCATTTTATTGCTTTTTTTTTCCAGAGATCCAGAAGAATGATCTCTAATTTGACTGCTAGTGACTGCCCCTTCAAAGCGACCAGGTGTCACAATGGAGGAGTTGCCACTGGCTCACACAAAATGATAATTGCAAATGCACACGATTTTTAAATTTTAAAATAATAACAATTTAAAAATTGGCCGTTTCTTTGGTCAAACTTTCATAACTGCACACTTCTGCATTTTCAAAGGTATGAAATGGCATGCTTCACCTGGGAGTGTTCAGAGAGTATCTGCTATCAAACTGCAGCAGGTGTCCCTCATGGGCCTTGACCCAAATAGGCTGCCAAGAGCTTTATGTTTCACTTTTGTATTTTGCACTGCCGAAAGTGAGCTGTCAAGGGAAACCAAAGGTGCAGCAGCTTTTTGCTCACCAAAATGATGTGACCACTGGGTTACCTCTTTTGAAGTGAGATCCTCGAGGGTTTTTGTTTTGACCTGGCTCACCTGCACATCCTCTCACTTTACCACCATTTCCACAGATTCTAAGGGCTTGGGGAAGTGGAAAAGCGCAAGTCCCTCCTCTTTTATGGGAGCGAGGAGATTGGACAGTAGTGCAGTACTCACCCTTGGGCCAAGTGGCCCCTGCTCCCCAGGGGCTCCAGGTTCTCCCTGTAATACGAAGACCACTGAGTTAGGGAAGCATTACTGTCTTATTTCATCCACAGGGCCTCACACCCTCCTGCTGATGGAGGATTCACATGAATCTGTGTTTCTCGCATGGAATGTACAATATGCATCCAGTCAGCTTTCCCTTTTAAGCATCTGCCATGGGTTGCATAGGCTGAACTGCACACATTGCTCAGAGTATTCAACAATGTCCAAACCCCCCGAAAGAATCTATGACAAAGCAAGGTCCATGCAAGGTGCTTCTGCTGCACCCATTTGAAATCTCCATGTCAGACTGCAGTTTCAGCAACGAGAAAGCAGAGAGCAGTGCCACCACAAGGTGAGCAGTGGGATGCCTTTCATCGTGAGGATGAGGTGTTCAGAAGCAGAGGAGAACAGGACTCCTTTGCCTCCAAGAGCTGCATGCAAGAGAATTTTGGCTTTCCCACCCTTGCATGTCAAACTGCAAGGCTGCCACAATTCTCTGGTCTACACAGTTCTTAATGGCAAAGAGTCTAAACCCATTTGTACCCTGTCACCTTAATGACCATGAAAAGCATTTTACTTCTTTGCACTTTTCCAGACAAAAATATATTTTCAGGGGGGCCAACAGAAGGCAATTAGGCCCTTGCTGTCATCCACACTGTGGTGAATAGTTCAAGAAGAGATAATATAATTCAAGCAGACATCAAACACCCAAAGGTTCGTTGGTTTCTCTGGGCCACACAACTCAATCACTAATGGGATTAGTAGGAATAGTAAAATATTGGTAGCAATAAAATCCATATTAGCTTTGATCACAGCAATACTTCTGTCATGACAACAATATTCATTGGATGCAAACAGTGTGCTAAGCCATGTAGAGAAGGTGCATGCTTTGCTCATGAGATTTGCAACTTTTCAGCATGCTGAAAATATCTCTGTGCTCTACATTATTGAGTCTAGAAGTGGCAAAAAAAAAAAAACTTTTCAGAGGGAGGGCTTAATTTATGCTACAGTACACAGTTAATCTTGCATTATAGCTTTTAACTGGTAGAAAAAAGGGTCTGTGAGACTTCTGATTCTCTAACCACTAAGCAATAGGGTCTTTTCTTTTTTTAAAAAAAGCCTTAATGAATTTCGACTTGCATCAAATGACTGACTCTGTATAACTTTCCTGTAGGAGCACATTCCTTAATAAAACTATAGAAGCATGAACTGCAAGTTACCTGCTCCAAGATAAGTGATGAATTTATATTTTTATAGACATAGTGTGTCTCATGCCTATAAGCTGTCCTGAGACCCTGCTGTAAAGGATGGGTTAGAAATGTTTTATTAAATTACATTAAAATTATTAATGAGCTGGATCTATAGATGTGTGTTTCCTTATGGAAGAAGAGATCTGGTATGCAAAGCATTCTTATCCACTTTTCTACATGCAGATAGAAAATTCTGATCACCTTAAAGAAACTCAAGAGTGGGTTTTATTCCCTGCTTGCTATTTGCTGGTTGAGACAGTAAGTAAATATCCTCTAGCAGAGGATGTTATTTACATGAAACAAACATGCTGGGCAATCACAAATGCACAGAAATGCATATTCTTTATTAGGGCTCTATGTATATCAACATTTACCCACCTTTGGTCCTGGAGGCCCAGGTAATCCTGGTGATCCAGGCTCCCCTTTGCCTCCTCCAAGTGCATTGCCAGAATCGCCTTTTTCTCCCTAGATACACCAAAGGATGAACTACAGTTACTTGGTTAATATGCTTTGTAGTTTTCTGTAATGTTCTGCTCTGTCACTACAGTTATGCTATAGGATGTTATCCATGTTTTATTGATAATGTTTGCTGCTTATTTTTGTTTCTTGTTTTTATTTAGAAACAATGTTGAAAGCCATCCTAGGAAGGCTTCTGCCCTGAAAGGTGGGCTATAATTATTTTTTTAAATAAGCAATAAATAAATAATAGGGCTTTCTGCTTCCTGGTACAAGAGGGCCACATCCATGGTTCTGCGCTAACAATGACCCAGGTAGATAAAAAACAAACCTTTTCTCCCAGCTTTCCAGGTGGTCCTGGTTCACCAGGTTTTCCTTTCTCCCCCTGCGGATGGAATACAGACATGGTTAGATACTGGCTGCAGTGATGTGTTTCCTTCATAGCAGGGCTGGCTGAAGCTGTCTGCATGCCCAGTGTAATAACTGCCCCCTGCTTACTTCTTTTTGCTTGCTGCTTCTCTGTCTAACGAACAGAGAGACTTTCAACCTGGTGCAACCCAGGGATGATGACTATGGGCCAGGGATGAGCAGCAAGTCATTATAGGGTCATGAGGTGATGCCATCCTGTAGGTTATTGTTACATTGCGTTTCCATTCTGCCCTTTTCCTTCTTCTTTCCTGTTTTTCCTCCTCCATTCCATTTTGTCCTCACAACAACAACCTTGCAAGGTAGGTGAGGCCAAGAGGGAGTAACTGGACCAAAGTCACCCAGTGAGCTTCATGGTCAAATGGGGACTAGAACTAGTCCAATACTCTAGCCATCACAAGTTATTGGCTGCCACACCCATATGGATGATCTTTTATTCCTGTTTTATGCAAAACTACCTTAATGCTCCAATGTTGTGAAATTCTGAAAACCAAGACTGATCTTCCATAAGGCAAAGTTAGGTGGCTGTATTAGGCAGCTGGATTCGGGTGTCAAGAAAAGACAGTAAATCATTAGGTCAGCCTTCCCTAACCTGGCACCATTCAGATTTGCTGGACTATAGCACCCATCACCTCCAGCATGCTGGCTTCAGTTGTTTGGAGATGTAGTCCATATCTGGAATGCAGCAGGGCAGGGAAAGCTTTGCTAAGTACTTATTATTATTGCATTTTAAATGCAAGGAGAAGCACTCCTGGGATTTCCTACTTCAGGTACCAAAATAACCTGGCCAGCTTGGGGTACTGGTTGTCTGAATGGGTGATGTACTAACTAATCCACAGGAAGCAAAATATTTTGGGCTATCCCTGTCTGAATTTATTGATATTTATGATTTTACCAACCAACCAACCATCTATTTACTTTTAACTTCATGCATTATTTTGACCAGCAACTATCTTTCCTTGCTTCTGGAAAATGTGGGACACTTGTTACAACCTAAATAAGTATCTTTGCAGGTGTACCTATATGAAGATATAATTCTATGGTACAAAAGACCTGTCTTCTAAATGCCCAAAAGTTATGCAGATGCTGCATTAGCTACAAATCAGTATTTAGTTATCTATGTAAGAAATGTTATGATCCATCTTCAGCCTATACTCTCAGGGTAGCACAGAGTTAGAAGAACAAATTTTTTTTAAAAAAGCAACAATAAATCAATATAAAACAGAAGAACAGTAGCATTAATCCAACAAACTAGATGGAAGCGAAAACAGCAGTTAAAATCAACTGTTCAACATGCTGAAGTGCCAGAGAATGTTTCAGTTTTATTCCTTGCCTGGAATCAAAGCAACATCAGAGTGGCGAGCGTCTCAGGGGAGGGTAGTTTGAAAATGTCCAGCTACCAAAGTGTAGTTCGTTTAAGAACTGGGAAGATGAGGCCCCTATAGCCAGCCTCTGTTACTGCCCTGGCAGTGTTTTATACTAACCAACGTTTCTAGGGCTCCCAGAGCAACCTTACATATGGTGCATTTCAGCAATTCAGTCTAGGTATTAACAGGACATGAGCCACTGTGGCCAGAGATTCCAGTTGGCACGCTGGATGATGGAAAACAGGGTGATATGGGTGTTGCTTTGGGCCTCCAGTGATAGCATCACAGACTGTGAACTGCAACACAGTCGACTGGGGGAATGCAGTTCCAGCTCACGCCGTTAGAACAAGCTGGAATGCATGGATGCTCGAGAATTTCTAAACAGTAAAGTTGATTTAAACTGGCCATTTTTCTTTGTGATTCAAATCATGATTTAAATAGATGATTTAAGTTTCTTTGAGTTAACCAGCCCTCATGTAAACTAGCACCAGTTACAGGAAAGTCTACCTTAAAGATTTAGTCTCAAAAAACCCTGCCCATCCTGTTTGGTATTCAGAGTGAAGACCCAGTTTCAGAAGGTTGGTGATATTTTTATATTCCGAATAGTGGCATGGTGACTTCATTGCTGAAATCATGTAGCTCAAGCATCATTTATTTCATGCCTTCCAAAAAGTACATTTTTGGCCTGGTCTTCTGGTTAAGTTTTGGCCACATGCAGCACTCAGGTGAGTAATGGGATAAAAACAATCTTCCTCGAGCATAGAAATGAAATTCGAAGCACTTCAGTCAAGGAAGGGGTTGTTAGAAAGGGCAACACAGATCAGCAAACCAAACCCAAACATTTTACAATGTCCTACCCTCTGCCCCCTTTTCCCTGGCAAGCCTGGGGGCCCCATCTTCCCTGCAACTCCATGTTCTCCCTTTTGTTTGGTAAGAAAAAAGAGACAGGATAGCTTGTTACACCAGGACTGGCCGCTGCCAAGCATCGCATAGTCCAAATGTGAAACAGAATCCCAATGTGGAAAATCCCAGCTCCCTCTCCCAACAGCAGGCATTTCATCTGTAAGATGCAAAAACCAGAGGACACGAGGCAAAGTAGATAGCAGTTAATTATGGTTAGCATCCTGATTAAGCTGAATGGGTCTACCACTGATTATGTCTTAAAGTGATGTCTCATCAGAGTCCCAGCTTTAACAACACTGCGAGTACATGTTTCTTAATTGCTACGGATGGTGCTGAATGAGCAATTCATTTGCAGAGGTCAGGACAGAGAAGAGAAGAGAAGAGAAGAGAAGAGAAGAGAAGAGAAGAGAAGAGAAGAGAGCAGAGCCATGGATAGATCCTGTACAAGAAATGAAAATGGAGGGACTTGAGTGCTTTAAACTGGGGCTAACCAAAATCATTGCAGTCTGAAGAGGACAACATAAACGGTTCATTAGGCTGGAAATTTGGACCCAAGTCTCCATCAGCACCTTGGCCACAATATTGCACTGGCAATATCGACAGAAGCAGCAACACTTGACACACAATACCATCAACGGTCGACTTTCACAGGTTCAACTTTCGTGGATTTGACTATTCATGAGTCTGCCATCAGTAATTCAATGGGATTTCCTTCTCTGGGCCCACTGCCTGCTACTCCACAGACAGCTGCATGGGGAATGCTCCCCTTTCTGGTCACCACCATAGCCAGTCTTGTAAGCGAATGGTTATTCAAATGGCAAAAGAGGTAATTGGACCAGTACATGTGTGGCCAAGAGTTAAGGTCTGAGGGAGGCCTAAATATATTTGCGGTTTTTCCACTTTTGCAGGGATTGTGTGCCCCTAATCACCGCGAATGTGGAGTGCCAACTGTAGTTGTATTAATACTACTATTACTACGACTACTAATAACCATAATCACAACAATATTAGCAGTATTCCTGTGGAGCTGATCATAACAATTTTCACAGTGATTATTTCAGTAAGTTGAACAACCCTGTTGGTTAGGTTATTCTCCTGCTAATGGCCTGGAAGGGAAACTAGTAGCTTGTTCAAGGCCATCTACCAAGGCAACATTTGAACTGGGGGCATACTGCTTCAAAAATCAGTCTCTTCTACACCATTCTACAGTAATTCTTCCTAAGAATGAAGTCTTAGGGCAATCATCACAGCACAAGCAACGTAGCAATCTGAATCACTTCAACTCATTTTTTGACTCACTCAAAGGATGGCCTGCTCAACCTTCAGTGTAACTATTACCTTGCATTCAAGTTCTAAGCCAGTGAACAAAGCCATGTGGGATTTGCATTGTTTTTAAATCCAATTATGGTTGTTTCCATTCAAGGTATTTCCAGTGGAAGGAACCTTCATTCACTTGGTTTTTCTGGAAAATCCAGATTATGTCTTTGTTATATGGCCTCAGCCCAGCACAATAGTAGGCCTTTACTCATGGTGATCAGCACTGCCAGATTTTTTAATGAAATTAGTGGATTTTAGTTAGTGCCAGATTTTAGTGGAATATAGCACTACATTACAACTTCTATGGAGCCACTATTTTAATTCTGTTGTTCAGCTAACCGGGGAAATGCAATACCCTAGCAGTGCTGAAGGCATTAAGTGTGGAGGCAAACAAAGTCTGGACTACAAGCAAGGATATAATGAAGAAAATAATTAGCTGTGCAAGCTCTCTTTTTTCCCTCTCTCTGTGGAGCAAGCAGAGCATAACCAATGAAAAAGGGGAAAACAACGAAGGAAAAGAAAAAGAAAGGAAAATATATGGCACTAAAATTCAGCATCTTTACCGACAAGTTATTCATGTAGGATCATCCCATCAGATCTCCTTAATATACTGAAACTAAAACACAGACAAAGCAGTTTCCCGAGGTGTAAATACCTTTGCTCCTGGAATCCCTGGCTCACCCTGCATTAGGAAAAGATGGAAAAATAAGTTGAGAGAAGGAAAGAGGGGTGTGTGCTTCTCTTGCATCTAGTGGTTCACCATTCCTTGAAGAAGGCTTCATGCCTACAAAGCACTGTTTCAGCAGCTTTATTTAAAGTTGCATTTAGATCTGCTTAAATTTAAATATGAATGGGTATCACACAGCTGAGATTGGTGTGAAATTCACTAAGGCCAAAATTCTATCCAGCTTGGATTGGACCAACCATCCTCAAGGTCAGCAAAGAATAAGCTCAGAAAGAGAAGAACAGATGGGCAAGCATACTTAATATTCAGATTTTAGGCTGGGGCTGGTGAGGAAAACATGGGGTTCCCACATTTCCCTGGTAATGCTAGTCTAGTGTGGGTTGGGACATTTATTAGGGGGAATCTGTGGGTGGAAAGATGTACAAATTCTTTCCTCACCTGCTGATTCTTTAGTCATGGCTAAAGAAAGAGAGCAGGTGTGATGCCGACAGGAACAGAACTGATTCGTAATAGGAAGGGTCCCCAGGACCAGAAGTAGCGGTGAGGACCCGTATAAGTAAATGAAACACTGTGATGCACGTAATGGCAATGGCACTGGTTGACCGGTCCCTGCCCCTGGACTGAGGCTGAGAGAAGCAGTCTCTGTGAACAGAGCATAGGTAGCAGACCACTTGTACCTCCACCTGCCATAAGGACAGCCATTTTGTC